GGAGCAGTCTAACGCCCACCTTAGATGAAGAGCATTTACAATGAATGCTTACGGAGATTTTCAAGGAATTTATTTAATTCCCTTTCGAGAATCTATAAAAGAGTGGCGTAGGTACTGATTAATATGGATGGAAAACTGTAACCAGGCGAGGACGAGATTTTATATATAAAAAAGAGATCTAGATTTCATCCTTGTTGTAAGAAAAGCATTGTTCAGGTTTGAGCACTCTGATCCTACGTTTTATTTTCTTTTCTCCATGTCGCTGAAGAATGCTGAATTGGAACTTCTGTAGAAAAGTTATGTGGAGTTACATCGACAAAATTTCCCTGACAAAAACTTATTGACTGGCCTTTGTTTATGTAACTACCCGTGGTATATAGCACGATATTATAGGTTGTACGGAAATCAGGTTTGCTAATATTTCAAGTTCCGTTGCTCTTTGTTTTGTATATTTGCTCTGATAAGAAACTGCTATCTGTATAAAGTGCGCATTTTCATATATAACTTTGAAATTTTTTTGCGTACATTGTTAGGCTATAGCTGCTTAATAGCATTGTTTGGATTATGAACAAGGATTTGCCATCAGCAATGGAGACATCAAAGAAGCGAATCTGACAAATCTAAATCCACAATTAGAGCTTGATGGAAACGAAACAGAAACAGCTTGGACAATGACTGAAGTATGGGGTCGAGGATGTACTAGCTAGCGTACAATTTAGCATTAGTTTGAAAAGCTCCTACTAGACGAATTCAGTTTCAAGATGTTGAAGGTCGCGGACGACATTCTGCCAATTACTCTAGGCTGGAGTGCTTGAAGAAAGAAATTTTACGTCGTTTCGTGCCATAAAGAACAAAAGAACAAGTGAACTTAACCATTCCGCTCCATCTCAGAAGGTAAGGAAGGTTGAATAAGTTCGATAGTAAGTTTCAGCTTGAGTTGAGGGTGCATCTGAGGAATCGTCAGTATGAGTTCACGTTTCTGCATAGCAAGAATAACTCTGTTTTTGATCGCATTGTTACGGATTACACGCAGATTCCAATCAGAGGCAATCGACCCGCAGGCGGCCCCTTGGCACTTCGCCCTTCTCCAGAATGCACCCAAATGAATGCATATTTTCTAGAAATTCAGTTGAATACTTGAGGATGAGGAGTACATTTATGAAAAGGGTCAAATGCTTCACAAGCTTCAACAATGTCCCGAGGACGAAGCACGCCATATCATGCCTACCATCATCATAGAAAAGGCAAGAGCGGAGGTGAAGTAGTGGCAAGTGGCATCCTTCACACACGCATAGTCACGAGTTCGAATCCCGGGTCGATATCCACCTTGGCCAGCCAAGCCTTCCATCCCTCTGGGATCAGTACTGGATTCGTCTGGGAGGAGAAGAGCACTGACTGTCATCGATAGGCCATCACAAGCCATTGTAGGTCACATACGCATTCAATACATCACTACGATTTTGAAAGGAAATCAAATGCGTGGACGCATCTCACTAGCGGGCCTGGTGAACGTCGCAATACTATCATTTTACATATAGTAAGGATCATTTATAAGAAACAAGTCAAAAAGACTCAACTATTGCAGAAAGAATCCTTTAACAGAATTGAAGCATTTTGAAGTTTCAAAATGCTGCTATCTCTGAGCTTCATTTTGGAGTTGTTATAGGGCTTACCGCTCAGTTGATATCACTTCATAACATTATTGTTTACTAGAGCGGCTGTCGAAACCTATCAAACACTTTCTGAGTTGAAGCCGATTATTGATATCCGTGGTTTATCCAATAAACCAGTCAGATCTACTTCTCCACAACATATTTGTCAGTCAGGATCTGCCGGACTCAACGAATCCCGCTAGACCGCCTGCAGCTTACCTGCGATTCGGTGAGTACGCCGGACCCTGCTCCCAGAGCATACGTCAAAGACGCCAAACCCCTTCGCGTGATCCTCGCCGCCCAATCCATCGTCCAACAGAAGACGCTGAACGCTCTGATGACAGGATGGTAACCATGTTCAAGTCTATGACAACAATTCGATTGGGAACTCAAGCATCGACAACAAAATTTATGACTTTAAGAGAATAGGGATATTTTAGTTAGTTGGATGAAGGCCGGGAGAGAAAAGCAGGAAGAGGATAGTGGAAGAAGATCACTAGAAGGAAGTTGACGTAAACAAGGATAGGTTAAAAGGGGTGGTCTCAAATCAAATAAACGATTCCCCTCAGTGTGGTCAAGAGCACTCCAAGTGGTCGATCGGGCCAGCAGCTCAAGAAACGGAGGAAGTCGTACGCGAAGCAGTGAAAGCCGTATACCTAATAGTTGAAGAGTTCAAGGAGAATAGAAGAGATTCGTGAAGAAGGTATCAACGAATTAGGGAAGTTCGATCGGCATCAAGGCATCGGCGGAGGTGGAACCCGAGACCTTGGTGGGAGTTTACTGGAGACGTGCACCTGACGTTTATGTGACATCTTGGCGCTCTTGGTGGCAACTTTTCAATAATTTCTTCATTCTGAATAAAGTCACAGATGAGATGGAGCAACGGCTTATACTTACGCAGTAAATTGGCGGCAGCAATTACGAATCGTTGGAGTCACTGCTCCAAGGCAAGGAGCCGGATAAGATGGCACTGAAAGAGCTGAGTGAAACGATAGCTGGCCATTTCCAGCCGAAGAACT